AACCTTGACAGGAATTTTGCAACTTGGAATATTTCTAAAATTCCCCAGCTTGAAATTCCATAGACACGTTGCTGGTAAGTTTTCCACCAATTTGCGCTGCTAAATTGCTGACTAAATTGGGTAAAACCATTTATTTTTGAGGGACTGCTCTCTAAAACGCACCATGCCGTTGCCTCTACTCATTTAAATAACTAACAACTGCTGAAAACTTGAAAAAACATATTTTAAAGACCATTAAGTAGGACAGCTAAAATTAGGATTGGCAGATCAAAGCTTCAGAAGAAAAATCAGAACAGAAATTGGCCACAAAGCTCTGACTGGTGCATCTCTGTTTAAAAAAAAAAAAAAAATAATAAGAAACTTTGTTCACAGCTGCCGATCTCCAGATGAAACATGACGGTTTAACAACCAGAAACGGCTAACAAGCTTGTATGTACTGACTTTATTTATTACGCAGTTAATGAATACCCAATGCCTTTCTGACTTTCACTGAAACAGAGAATAAGGTCGTTTCTTGGAAGGTTGTTGCTTTGAAAACTTCTAAATGTAAAAATTTTTCTCCCTCGTGTCTCAAAAGAACTTGTTTAAGTGTCTAAACCTGAGCCGAACAGGGTCACAAAGCCTTAACAAAGTAAAGATACAAACATGCTAGAAAGGTAGCTGGTGTAGAATGAAATCAGATTTCTTTCTTTTCCATGTGCATGTGATCTCACACTGTGAGGAAAAACAGCGGGAGAGAGACGAGGGGGCATGCGGTAGCAAATAGACGAGTTTCTTAACGAGTGTGTTTCCTCATGAGCGGGTCCTCAGGGATTGACCCATTTTCATGTGGGTGAGCTGGTGTGAATACATCCTGGCAGTTGGGCGGGGGGTGAATGAAAACAGAGTAGGGGTGTAGAGGGGAAGATGATAGGCCAAATCTCCACCAATTAAGACTGAACTTCTGGCTCTAATCTGAGAATACATGCACGACTGTGGATCGCCAAGCATGCGTGTACATGAACAATGAGCGCCGGTTCCGGGAGGAAAACGGTCTTGACTGATTGACGGAGGCTGAGCGTGAGGTAGAATACCAGAGAAAACAAGACGTGCGGGTGTTTATAAGCAAAGCTGACATCAGGCCCCCAATTAGAGGCCAGTGTGCTGGTGGAGGGAACCGGAGAGAGAAAGCAGTGGAGAGACTGCGAGCAGTAGAGTAATTAAGGCAGTGTGACGAGACAGTCGGTAATGTTCTCATGAGTGGGCCTGCGTGGGAACCAGTCCCTAATATGCATGCTATAATATGGATGATGAAGTGCAAGTGTGCTGTGTGAAATATATAGCGGGTTATTCACGAAGATGGTAAATGGGAGGAAGATATTTAGGAATTCAGAGAGGCGAGATGTTTATGCCACATGTGTACGTCCATCTCGACTAATGGAAGGTATTATTCTGATGATAAGTTCAGCTTATTAAAACTCCATAAACTCCCTTTCAGTTCATCTGGCGAAGCTAATGAACACATTAGCTTCTAATCTGTAATTAATCACAATGGGAAAGTGTCTTACTGGTGTTTATATCTATGCTCGCTGGAATATATCTGGACTGAACACAGACATATGGCACAAATGAACCAAACCTCAGTCTGAAGCATGACTCAGATATTGCGACAGATTGTGCAATTACAATAGAACCGCAACTAGCAGTTGCGGTTCTATTAATCTATCGATTAATTTGATTAATCTATCGATTAATTTGATGATTATCCAATGAAGCCAACAAAAAAATTGGCACATTTTGCAGATTTTTTGTTTAAATCTTTGTATGTAATGTTAGAGATACATTCAAATGAAATAAAATAATATTTCATTGGAGAATGCCGGCTCATTTGTAGCAAAAAAAGAAAAGCATAAGAATGCATGCAGCAATAAATAAATAAATACTTTTAACATCAACATGTAAAAAGCTCAGCTCTTTCCACTGGACTCAACTTCAGTACAACGTCCTGATCTGTCCTTTGCCATTATGTACATTTTAAAAAAGGCATGTCAAAAGGTTTAAAACCCTTTACAACAATCAATGGAAACATCTTAATTAGCCTTATAGTAATCAAACCTTTCACATGATTGATTAACTGCTTTTTGCAAGTTTCCACTAATATTTTGACAATTTATTTTTGGCGGTGAACTCCAAGTCTTTGATGTTGGAAGGCTTTCTTGCCATCAGCCTCCCTCACCTCCAGTCAGAAAAACATGTTGGTAAGAGCGCTTTAAATCTAAAACTGCAAAAGTATCAATAATTCAGAGCATAAGTGTATATAAGCCTTATATAGTCCAAAAGGCCGAGTACAAACTTAAGTTACTCTCGTATTGTTTCACATCTTGCCGTCTCCTCAGAGTTGGGGTGGTCCAAAGATTGCGAGGAAATCTGGCAAAGTAGTAGCAAATGAAGACGATGGTGTTTACCCAAGGCAGACAGGCAATGTCTGCTTAAGGAAGATGTCGATGCTGAAGCGTTCCAATTATTATGGCTCGCTCATTACTGCTTGTTCTGAGGAATGGAGCACTTCATCAGCGGGATTTGGTGTTTAACTGTGCAAACAAGAGGAGTGCAGACTGTTGTTCTCTTATTAATCTCCTTGACGGCGAACAAGCAAACATATTTGCTCTTTGTCTGTTTCGCTTCCCCTCTTGTTCCTCATTAACAGTAAACGGGGTTGAAGAATACTTGCATCAAAAGGCTGTTTAGACCACAGCTTCATGTATTTTTGCCAATTGTCCATATTCCTTTTAAACTCTGATATTTTTCAGCTAAAGTCAGTTGGTGTCCATACAGGACAGTCCCAGTATAAACTAAGGTCCAAACTGTTTTACTGGCACCATTTAAATCCCTTAACAAGGTGAGATTTACTATTTTATGGAGTTGTGTGCATTATCAAGATGAGGGCATGTTGCTCATTAACAAATGGAAGGAGAAGAGGACTTGTATTGTTTTTTTTCTTGGCCAATTATCAAGAGGCCAGACGATGAATGAGTGACTGAATGGATGTTTTTTATATAGATACAGGTATAACATTGAGAGAGAGTAACACAAAGGCATAGATTTATAATGAGATATCATTTGTGGTTGTTATTCACTTGATGAATTTCCTCAGACAGCTTTACTTACATCAGCTTGCAGAGGTTGCAAATTACCCATACATGCACACAAAGACAAAAGCAGTTTTCTTCCTTCAACGAATAGGCTAGAAAGCAATCTGACCTAGAAAATGATGCCAATACTGGTATTACTGACCGGTATGTCCGAGAGGGACCAGATGGGAAATACTAAAATTTGGTTATTGCACTTTTATCCTTTGTTCACAGCTGCTTTGTTCCCATTTGGTGTTCCCGCAAACAATGATTGTCAATCAGTGGCCGTAACAAAAGCCGTGAGTGGCGCAGCTTGAACAAAATCCTTCACATGCTGCTGCACTGTTTGCAAAGAACTGACACCGGCTCAGGAACTTGGAAAATTTATGTTAAGGGCAAAATGTCACGGACTTCAGCTCAAAGTGAAGACTGGTAGGTGGAGAGAAAAGAAAGAAAGAGAGAAAAAATAAAAAGCCCAATTGGCTGCATCTTTAAAGCCATTTGCTCTAACATGGGCACACTGAAAGCTCAAAATAAACTAGACAGGTTGTCAACTGGCAAACAAAGCGGAGAGGGATGAAGTAGAGGGCATCTGTGGAGACAGATAAGGTTGGTGTGAGACAGAGTAAGAACAATAGGAGAGGATATTCAGACTCTTTGACCTGAAACACCACAGCGCTTTGGGTCTTTTTTCCCCCCTCTTTACACTTCAAACCCTCCTTCTTCTTCTAACGTGGCCGTTTCCATTTCTGGTCAGCCACACTGCGCTGCAGAAAATCCAGACCTCAAACTTTTTCACATTTCACTACACTGATTCAAACTTTGTATTTGATTGTCTTTTTGATTTTAAAACAGACCAACATAAGGTAATCCACAAAAGTGAAGGGGTAGGAAAAGGTGTACAGTATGTAGTTGGTAATCTGATATTGACAATCAGAACATCCAGTATGCCGTAAATAACCATATTTATGGCCATTTGGGTTGGTGAGATTATGTGGTAGAATGGCCCAGTCAAAATCCAGACTTGAATAAAATTGAGAGTCTGTAGCAAGACTCCAAAATTGCTCTTCACAGACACTTTTTGTCCAGCGTCGCTGAAGTCAACACATCTTATGAAGAGGAATGTCTCTAGCCGTATGAAGGTGAAAGAGAAATACCCTAAAAGACTTGAAGCTACACCTGCAGTGATAGACGGCTCTACAATACAAAGGCAAACCACCCTCTGATTTTTACTCGCAAAAAAACCAAAAACCATGCATTCTTTTTCTCTGAAGTTCACAACCATGCCCTACCGTTGGTTTGTCACTAAATTAAATCCACATATAACGATTTTGTCATTTATGGTTTTAATATGACAGCAAAAATAAAAAATATATTGAGGGTCATGAATAATTTTGCCAGAGACTGTACAATATTTTCGTCAGTGCCATTCAATAAGAGCCTCATCCTCTCCATGATCATCCATTTCCTCAAATGTTATTTGAACTTCCTCTAGTACTTCTTCCTCTCCTCCTTACCATAATCACCGCACTCTCTATTTTGTCTTGTTCGCAATCCAATCTCTTTTTTTTCTCCCCAACAATGTCTATTTGCATGAATAAATAAATGTGTGTGTCAATAAAGGAGCTCTGTGAGTGAAAACAGCCTGTAAGGCAGAAGGCTATTATTTTCGTCAATAGCATTGAGCAGTCGTTCATGGCAAAGGGTTGTTGTTTTTTGGAGCGCTCTAACATATGGGCACATAAATCAGAGCCTGCCATAGATCTCAGCTCTGGCTTTCTCACTTCCATCTGTGCTGATGAGTTTAAACACAGCCTGGAAGCTTATTCACAAACCAAATGTATATGCATAAAAATAAAAAATAAAACTCAAGATCAGGCATTTGCTCACCTCTTTGCACCAGCATGGTGACCTCGCTGCCTTTTGGTAACTTGCTGAGCATGTCCACCACCTGGTTGTGAGACATGCTCTGCACATTCCTCTTGTTCACCTCGACGATGATGTCCCCCTCCCTAAGGCCACGGCAGCGAGGGTAGTCCACGATCTGCTTCACCCTCTGCCCTCCACCGCTAAGGCTGTCTGCAATAGTGAAGCCAAAGCCCTTGTCTCCTTTCTCCATGTGTACAGTGATGAGTTCTGGTTGCGTAGCGATGGACGAAGCCAGGGTTACCACGTCGCTAGAGTAGCCGAGCTGGGAGGAGGTATCGGACGCGACCTCGGTGGAGGGGCTGTGAGGTCGGGGGAAGCCATTGAGAGGCAGTCCGCCATTGGTTGGGCCGTTGGTGCTCTGACTTCCTTGGCTGGACGGAGAGTCGTAGCTGCTTGTGACCTCCTGGCCGTTGACGATGATGGGATCTTTGTTATCGAGGATAGCCACCGAGGTTACCAAGCTGGTGTTTGGATCATCGGGGTCAAAAGGCAGTGGGTAGCCACGACACAGCTCCAAGTTGACCATGGACCCGATTGGGATGGACTGAAAGATCTTCACAACTTGGGCGTGCGTGTAGCCCAGCACGCAGGTGTCATTTACGCTCACAATCACATCCCCTTTGAGGTGGAGAGAAAGAGGGCGTGCAGTGACTGAACTGAACCAGTACTCCCTCTTCGCGAATAATAAACGCAACGGCACCAACCTGTCTCCATCTTCCCATCAAGGGCTGCAGGTCCATCCAGAACCAAACTCTTTATCTGCAAGAACTCATCCGGCTCGTCCCCTCCAACAACGGTGAACCCAAACCCTCGACGGCTCTTCTTCAGTTTGGTATTGATGAAGGTCCCGTTCAGTTCTGAACGGTTCCTAGTAAAGAAAGGCTTCCCACCTGAACACAAAGATAATTCTGCTTTAATTATTCTTATGTGAAAACACACAAATTCAATTAGGTCTAACAGGATTTGATGTGGATCCTTAAGAAAGCTGCTAGAGTCTTCAAATGTGGTCTACATCTGCCAGCATTGCCCAAACACAATAACACTTAACATCGGCTTTCCTGCAAACACAAGGTTTTAAGTACATCCTTTTTGATTAAGCTGTGCCAAAGCTTCTCCCATAAGCCGTCTGCCTGCAATAAACGGTCTCTTTTGGCGAAGCATTATAGAGGTGTGGATAATGGCACGAATCCAAGGGGTTTTTCTGCTTATTCTCTGTTTACTCTGACATGATTACTCTTTTAAAGTAGGCCGGATCCAAATAACAAATAGTCAGGACAACCCCTGGCTTGAGATCTGGTAAAATAATGCCAGAATAAATCTGCCTTGTAACGGTGCCATCCAGAACAAGACTTTATCTGGCAAAATAAGTCGAAGACTATTATTGTGAAATATTAAAGAATATAATCTTTGAATTGATGCATTGTGCTGACAGACAGTAACATGTTCCTCTATAGCAATCCTGCAGTTTTAGGTCTGTTTAATAAGGCGGCAGTTTTAAGCATAGAGTAACACACTCCCTACATCTTTTGCTGAGCACTGCCAGTCAGGCTCTTTCGTGTGTTTAGGGGTATCCTGCTAGGAGATATGTGGCTCAAGGTATCCTCCTGAACTCTGACCAGCTTCCCTCTCCCTGCTGAATAGAGGCATCCGCCACGGTGTGATACCGCCACCTCTTTGCTTCATTACAAGTATGTTGTGTTTAGATTTTTATGCAGGGTTTAGGTTTTGGTCTTATCCGAACGGAGCACCTTCTTCCACATGTTTGTAAAGTCATGGATTGCGGAAAATCTCTGAAGATGTTCCAGTTGTGCAAGAAGGGGCAGAGTGTTTTAAATCTCAAATTGGAAAGCTGTGAGGGTTTTCAAGCTGCTGAGTTCAACCGATACCAAACAGTCCAAACAGACGCGACAGACTTCCTGTGCTACTCTATAAAATTCCAAAAAGAGAAAAACATTTACCAAAATAAACATGTTTAGGACAGAACTACAACTAAAGTTTGACATTTTTGCTTCTATATTGATGCTAAATTTATAACAAGTCTGTTTCTACTAAAAGATGCTCGATCGTGTTATACGTTTTTCTTCAAAACGTTTGCGTAAACACTGTGAAACTGTTGTATGCCCGGCGTTTATTTCGATTTCCCCAAATTCCAGAGGAGGTGAAAATGAAGCTTCATGGATACGGAACAGAACCAAAGAGCAGGGAGAGAAGGAGGAAGTTCAAGTCATCTCTCCCGTTGATCTTAAAGAAAAAGGGTGATATCCTGGACTCCAACATCTCCTGGTTTGTAACCTTGCTCCAGTCTTGCAGATTCACTGCAAGACTGAGTGCTACTGGAGATCCATCCTGCCTACAACCTCATCATCCAAAATGACCGTTTGAGGACACTTGGATGACATGAGCGAAAGCATTTAATTTCAGGATAAAGTATTTCTGAACTGAATGAGACCTTTTGAATAAAGCCTAATCTTTTACTACAAAACAATATTTAAGCTCCATGTAATGAAAGATTACATCCAACGTATTACTTAATCTGGTTCCGTCAAATGAATTTCAGCAAAAAGAAGGTTGATTGAGAGAGGGAAAGTTAGAGAGACATGTTTTAAGTAATCAGCAGTACAACACTGTGTTTTGGCGGGACCATAGTTTATGCATACAATGAAAAATGCATTACCCTTTGAGTCAGCTGTGTCCTTCTGTTTGTGGCATTTTGTGGTGAACGCATGTCTGTGCACAGGCGCACTATACAACATAATTTTTTATAGAAGGAGAGCGACAGCCAAACTGTCAGCTGATATATTCACAGCACAAGAGTCGGGGAAAAAACATGAACTCAGGGAGTCAGATAAAGAGATTTTAAATGATTTCTTTGTCTGGCAGAATAACACAAGGGTACGGCGGTCTTGGACAAGGAGACAGAAACGAGTGGGCTCAGAGTCAGACGGCTATATGGACTGAAAGACAAGAGAAACCGAGGGATGGTAGTAAGAAAAACCCAGCAAGACAGGGAGCTATAAAACAAAGATCAACAAAAGACAGAGGCACCCGACGGAGAGGCTGCGGAGAGTAAAAGGGGAGCTGCAGAATGAGGCAGTTAATTCTGAGCCATGACTGGGCTAATTAGACAGGCTGCTAGTGGGAGGCTGGCATGAAAGGAGCTGGCAACGATGAGAAGGAAACCCGCTGCAGCTGGAGGTGTGCGCATCGCTAAACGATGGGTGAAATCAGGCCATTATTTGATTTGAACATGGATCGTTACAAAACCGTACATGGTTATATTAAGGACGTCTCCTCAGAATCTTGACACCGTTGGACAGTTTGAATGCTATAAAGTCATCACCCCCCTATATTGATTAAAAATAAATGACATTGTTTCAGAGTATCAATTCATGGCTGTTTTTTCATTGCGAAATCTAAAACATAACCTCAGGCAATAACAGAAAGAAATGACAGTAGGAGCTAAATCTTATTTAGCATATAATAGGCTGTTCAGGGTAACAGAATGGAAGAACATAATGAGCGCACATTTTTAATTCTATGGAAGAGAACTTACGTTTTTGTCCCATGGCGTTGGGTACGGGTGGACCCGTCTGAGGGTCCCTGTATGTCTCGTGGTTGGCGGCATATGTGGCCAGGGGAGCGCCTGCCAATGCCGAGTCCTCGATCCATTCTGCGACAGCAAAAAACATCACATATTCTCTAGATGGGGAATGACTAGGAGGACAGCGATCCTGCTTGTATGACTCCAGGACAAAATCTGACTCTTATGAAGCTGACTGAGAATACGAGACGAAGGAGTTAAAAAGCTCAAAACGGGAAAGAGCTCGACTGGCTGCTGATCATTGCGCCCTCTTGCCATGTCTTAACTTTGCTCTTTTGCTGGTTTTGCACCTGACTTCTTGATGAAACAGACAATATTTCATTCGTGAAATGAATGGGTAAATTCAGGCCCACCAGGTAGATGTTTCACACCCTCCATCGACAATTTAAAGTAATTTTCTAGGTTGCACACACAGTTTCCAACAAGGCAATGTGGTTTTATGACTTCAGTAAATAATCCTCAACAGCATGAGGTTGCTTGGAGGTATACTGGCTCCATAAAGTGCTTAGAAAATAATGTACTTTTGAATACATGGGACATTTAAGCATTTTTACGACTATTTACCTCTATAAAACAAAACAAAAAAAATACTCAACTACAAAGAAAAAAAAAAGAAAAATCGATGCGACACGGACAGGAAACAGTTTATTTACAGGTCTGAAAGGGAAGTAGGGAGAAATGAAGTTCCAACTGGAAAGACGCCAAATTGACCAGTAGCAGTTTGAGCGGGTCCTACAATGTTCCTGTTGAATTCATTTTAGCAGCTATATGTGATTTATTGCCTTGTTATTTCAGCATTGGAAAGATCAGATTGAAACCTTGATGTGTATTCTCGGTGGAGAGATGTAATCAATACCTCAAAGGGGTGCAAAATGAGTAAAACTCTGCATGAAGGGAGTTGTTTTTTTTAAAAGTTGTTCTTTCTGATCTAGAGTAAAAGTCAGCAGGTAATTGAGGTGAATCTAATGTTTTCTGCTGGATGAGCGCACAGTGGGGTGTGATAAGTGAACTCCCTTGTGGGCTGACCTGCATTTAAAATCAATTCCTCAGTGGGGTTTCCTATGCGTGCATAAAAGTGAACTCAGATTGCAGAATCCACTATGGTCGAGTTCGGCAGCTTCATTTGATAAGAGTCTTCCACCAAAAGAGCTACATTCACATTTCATGCAAGGCTTATCATTTCAAGCAGAAGTCAAACTTACTTACTTGTGTCTCGCCCTTGGAGAAACGTTTTGAATTAACGCAACAAAAGAGACAAACACAACAAAGAAATCTAAAATGAACGTAAATAAAAGGCTGCGCCGCGCAGCCGCAAATAATGGTTATGCCTTTATGGAACAGCACTTAGCAAATCATACGGCAGTAGCAGGCAGCATCACATAGTAAAATAGCAGTAGCTGGTACGAACACTCAAACACAGGCAACGCAGGCGTAAACATGAATATAAAAGAAAGAAAATGACGCCCCTTGGCGGGGGCTTGTGAACGAACCTCGGATGTAGCGCTCACCTTCAGGTGGCTGCTGGCTTTGGGGCTGAGGCTGCTGGGCGGGCTGCTGTTCCAGCTGCCTGCGCCTCTTAGCCTCCAGCAGCGGGTTTTCGTACTGGGTCTTCCTGTTGATATGACTGTGGATCAAGGGGACGGGGAGAAATGAGTAATGGAGGAGGAATGAATTTAAGGGGGAGGGGAAAAACCAACAACAAACGGGAAAATTTGCCAGGTGTGCAGAGAACAGCAGGAGGATAGAGAATAGGGCCAAAGAAGGAAGGATTGGGGGGGGAAGACAAGGTAATAAGATTCTGATTAATAAATCAAACCGCACCAGACATGCACCTGTAAGAGTCCTCTATTTAATGTATATAACAAAGTTACACCAACAAAACTCTCCTTGCCTGGCAGGGACAAAATTCCCACCCGATGTTGCCAACAACTAACGTTGCACAACGTAGCGAACTGAAATAATAAAATCAACACGTTCAACATCACAGCTCAGGAACAATGTTTGGGCAGCATGTTGTCTTATGTACCACACATTCAAATTCTGTTTGCCAATAAAATATTTTGCCCGTTCAATAAAATCTAACTCTTCTCAATGGTCAGACTTGATAAATACCTTTATAAACCAAGATGCGAAAGCTAAAAAAACAGTAGCGGGACATTTTGAAGAAAATGTGGTTTGATTGCAATTGATGTTTGCATCTTAATATTCTGCGAGTGTATTCCAATTACATGTTCTCTTGACATCATGAAAACCTAGCAACAGCTAAAGTTAATATGCAGGTAAATGCTGAACACATCAAGATGTAAAAGGCAGAGAAAACTATTAAGTTATCTGAAGTCTGTCGATGTTCAGAAAGCAATCCTGCCCTCTATTACTGCAAATTAAGTGTTTCTAAACTTGTAAATGTTGCTAAATAATGCATTTTCCAGGAATGGAAAGAACATTATTTCACCATTAACCAGCCCAGACGGGGTGCTGCTTGCAAGACTTCTGACAGGGAAGTCAAAAGAATAATCAGAAGACAAGAGCCAAAAAAGCATCCGCAAAGAGATTTATAAAGAGCCGGGATTTGCAGATAGGTACATTTTAACGTCAGTGGCTTCTATGCAAACTCAACGCACAATACTCAAGACTTGAAGAAAAAAAACTATTGCAGAACATTTGGACCGGTCATAGAAAAACCCTGGCTAATAAAATGTGCAGATAAATTCAAATATGGACTCTTTAGATATCTCTGGGCACATTTTTTTTTTACCCCAGAAAATAGTAAACTTTTTTAAGTGAGAATCTGGTGTGGGGTTGTTTTACAGCAAATGGTACCTTCAGACATCACAAAATTAAAGAAAGAATGAATGGGGAAATTTAAAGGGACATTCTTGACACGAACAGCGTTTTTCTTCAGAAAGACAATGAGCCCAAACAAACCGTAACAAGAAAACGAAAACAGGAAGCTAAGTGAATGACTAAGTCAACTTCACAACTTGACATCAATTGAAGACAGAGTGTGGAAGAAGTTTCCACGTTTGAAAATGCTGTGAAAAAATGGATCGAAATTAAGCTTGGCCAATTAATGCGACTGTTTTTACCCAGCAGGAATCTTATTCAAGCTGTCATCTCCTAAAGAAAGGCATCCATTCATCAGGTTTGTTCATTTTCTAATTCCACTTTGCTCCTCTTAATTAATGAACATATTTGTATACATGATATTATTTGAGCTGTTACTGACATCTGGTGAGAGTTTTATGTCAATAGCTCCACTGGAAATATATTTACTAGAAAAAACTGTTCAAGTTGAAGCCTTTTCTGAAGGTTTAATTCACAGAACCTCTTTCACATCATCTAGCATGCCTGGGAGGAGCCCAGCAGCCAAAAGCACTGCATTGTGAGGCAAATGAGAGCAATTGTGAATAATGTATAGGAGAAAATATATTGCATTGACAAAGCAGGACAAAAAAAATAAATAAATTAAAAAAAAAAGCCATATTCCCAAACCCCAGATGCTGCTTTGAACAACATCAAATACATACTGAGCATATTTGTATTAATGCAAAGAGCCGGCGGCTCCTTTTTTCCCAAATGGTTTTGGCACAAACAAAAATGTCCTACAATCAAGCAGCCACGAAAAAGCCAAGGCAAAATTTGTTTGACATTGACTGAAAATAAAACTCTAGGCTCAGATTCACAGTGAGGTCAAGAGTTTCGCTTGTTGGACTGAAAGAGGGAACACTTGCTAGACGAGGCCTTCAATTGATTTATTTTCATAAGTGTCTGATCTGTAAAATTCGTACTTTGTGAGACTTACTCAACATAGTAGACCCCGTAGACTGGATCGTCGATTTTCTCCCATCCGTGAGGAAGTTCTGTAAAGGCGAAACACAAAGAGGACCAGACAGATGAGAACAACATAAAGCTGCAGGAAGGCTTGGATTTAACCGGCAACATCATCATGAAACAAGCACTGATTTACTTGTGGATGTCCATAAATCCTGATTTTTCTGATGAGCCCATGTCTCAAAACCAGAGCGTCCAGCGCTCCCGTCAGGAACCTCTGGGTCATTTCCATCCAATTTCATGGTGACAGCTCATGAAATTGGATCAGAAACCTTTGTTGTCATCAGTAGTGCTCTCCATCGAGGTTGATTTACATTGATACTAATATCTTTAAAACATTTCAATATTTTACATCATGGAAACAATATTGCAGGTGAGAGTCGCTTATTAATGCCGTCTGTCATAAACTAAACCTTTAAGCTGGATTTTGGAATAAACTTCCAGAAAGAAATGCTCAAACACTGACTTACTTTAAATCAAGGTTAAAAACCCAACCAGCTTAGAGTCGCCTTTGATTTATAATAATTGGAAGATTGATTGATAAGGTCGCTAAAGATGAATGCAGATGTGTGGCTACCTTGTAGGAGATTGTAGATAGTAAGCATGGTGTAGACTGCATAATAAATAAATTAATTGTACAGATATAATATTTGAAAAAGTAGAAATTGTGACAGAGTAAAAATTAGATGTGTAAATATGTGTGATGTTGGACATATTTGGACGAAGCAATTAGGAGTAGCACTTACTAAACTTTGCCTTTTTTTTCCTTTTTCTCACTGGATATGCAAGTTTTATATATTTTTTTATGTTTGATTATTTTTTTGTTTTATTTTTAAGTATTTAACTTTTTTCTTTGATATTTTACATGCTGAAAATACAGATTTCATTCCTATATTTGATATATTTGCATGATCATTCTGATGATGGCATTTGACAAAATTTTACTTTTATTATTTGTTTCGCAATCGGTTATGGTATCGGTTATGGTATCGTATTTTGCGATTTGAAGTGAGTTGTTGCTAAGACGTGCGATACAAATAAATTTGACTTTTTACATACGGACTGCCGAAATAAATGTACTTTTCAAAGTGTAATGAGACGCGACTATACTTTGAAATCCGTCAGTGGCTCGGCAGGATCAGAGCGACTCGACAGCTTCGCAGGTCGTCCTTCTGCTCCTCACCTCCGTCACCTCCCACTGCTGACATTTCCTCACATCTGATAAGAGCACAGCTGGACCCCATGGGCAGAGGTGTATGAAAGGCTTAGCGACGGAACGGAGATGAGGAGAGGAAAAAAAAACCCCTGCAAGACGGGTCGAAGAGCGGCAGAGCCAAAAGAGGAGGGGAAGCAGGAAAGGATAAAACAAAAAGCAAGAAAGCAGGAAGCAGGCGAAGGCACAAAAAAGGAGTGGGAGCGGATGGAATAACCAAGGATTTGCAACCGGTGTACAAAAATGGAGAAAAAAAAAAGGTTGAGTTGAAAAGATTTGTGTTTGAAGTTACGTGTGACTGGGTGCTTAATAAATGAGGGATTTTATAAATGCACATACCTCTAATTCAATCAGTGCATTCACGTAAAGCGGTCCTTGGTTTGAACAGAAAAGTACTGCGACTGTGGGGCTTCTCAGCTAAATCCCATGCATTTTATTTGATGTCTCCTTCTTCTCTGTAGGACAGTGTGACTATAACACGCTCTTGAATTCACCTTTACCACTTTCTAGTTTGTCGCGTTCTCTTGAATTCAAACACACCGAACTGGAAGCGGGACCAAAAGGTCCATCTCCACCAGGTTGGAAACAGAATCTACAGCATCTGAAAAAACTTCAACTGGGCTTTAGAACAGCAGCATGAACATTCAGCATTATACAGTATAAACATGAATGGGATTGCCTCTGTGGTGTGTCATTGTCCGGCATGAATTATGTTTCAGCAATTCAGTCTCTTTGTGATAAGTACAATATTTATCTCACAGCTGCACCCATTCATTGTCAGCCATCCACCCACAAAAGCTAATTTCAGGGGCTTCTAACTGGCTCCAAAAACAGACTGTTCAATAACTCTGACTTGTGACACTTGCTCCTGGTTGCAAGTGGGCATTAATTACAAACAACCATCTAACTCGGAACCACTGTTTGGATGTTCAATTTGGAGGCCCTCTACTGCAGCCGGGAGTGAGACTATTAACAGAAGAATTATAGCGTCTCGCTAACGAATTTATATTCCTTGAACTTTCAATGTGCTGCAAACACTTTTACAGCTGTAGATCTTTTGGAGTTTGTTTCAACTAGAGTTGCACACTCAGGCTATGTGTTTCCTGAAAATGTTTTGCTGTAATACTTTTTCTTTTGCATAGACTGATTAAAGGCGACCACAATCAGACTTCTGTGCGAATGGCTTGTGACCCTAAGGCGACCCACAAGCTTAAGAAGAACAATGAGGTCACACAGCAGCGCACCGTTTACTGAAGTGTTGACGAACGGCATCGATTATAACATTTATTTAGCAATGGGAGCCAACAGTATCGTCACAAGATCATAAAACGGAAGAGGCCAGTAAAAAGAAAGCTCAACTAACAGCAGCGGGTTTTGTGGAGTATTGACTGTAACTTCTGTGGAGACGTTTGTTTCAACGTCAATGACATGAATATTTGAGAAAATAAAAATCTTTAAAAACGACCAAATACGTATCCAAATTAGCACCACAAATGGAAGTGGCTCAGATGTAAATTTTCTTTGGAGTGGGGTGGAAAGATCGAGATAAGGCTGTGAATAGAGACTGAAATATTTACCCAGGCTTCCATAATACCGTAAGTCCAGCCCCATTGATTGCTGCTATGAGCATCAATGTTCAAATCTTAGTGTAGATTCTAATTTGGAAATAGGTTTGACTTTGACTGAGCCATTCTGTTGTTTGATCTGAATTATTATATTGTAGGGCTTTCTATACGTTTTAGGATCATTGTTCTGCTGAAAGGCATGTCTCCAACACAGTCTCAAATCTTAGGCAGCATCTAACAGGTTTCCTCCTGCATTTAGCTCCTTCAACTTTCTCAGAGTTAGTCCAGGTCGCATGCCACACCTTTCACACTTTGATTTGTGAAAACGCTTAAAAAGTAATATTCTTCCTTCAAGTTCACAATAAGTCATCAGTTTAACAGGGTTTTATTTAGTGTCATCAAGGGCAAAGGGGGCTGGATGGAATCTTGAGAAAAACGTTTAAGTTTCCGTTCTCTTATGTGTTGCGCTATTCAAATACAATCTTAAAATATATTGAAAACTGTTTGTAAAATGTGAGAAAGTTCAAAGGCTACAACTGCGACACTATAAAAATAATACATTGATGTTTAAAATGTCTCCCAATGACACACAGGGCAGCATTTGTATCGTAGTTCTCTGTACAATCAGCAATTAGAGTTGGTAATTTAGCATGCATGAACATTAGCTCATTATTCACCGTTCCCCACATGCAGCTGATGCAGAAAGCTCAAGGAATGCTAGGTTACCGACAGAGAGAGCTGCTGCTGCTGCTGCAAGGGTGAAGCTGTGGTGGCTGTGAATTATTTTATTCAAATGTTTTGAACTGGAACGTTAAATGGATTGCGGTCCCGCCTCACCTCGCGCTAAATTCTAATCACCCACTTGATTTCACACTGCACTAGTTTTACTCCAGACGCTGCACCTCTGTATGGCTGCGTGTGTGTGTGTGCGTGCGTGTGTGTGTTTGTGGTGGCGATGTGTGAGAAGAAGATGCCTGTTGCTGCTAGGCTTCTGACAGGGATAGGATACATCTGCGTGTGTGGAAACACAAATGAGAGAGAGGCAGAGAGAGGAAAAAAAACGTGTCACTCATTAGGCTGTGTTTTTCCTCTCACCCTGTGTCCCTCTTCCCACATCCTGCTTTCCGAAGCGAGGGGGAACCGAGCTCGGTGAATTACATCTCCAACTGTTTGCATCTCATTCTCCTGATACGCTACGTTGATTGAGGCCTCTTGAGTGAGGAATGCGGCACAGAGAAGAACTCGGTCCTTGTGGGTGTATTATGCATGTATATGCCATGATTTAAAAAAAACAAAAAACAAAAAGGACTTTTTTTTTCCTTTTTAGCTGTTTTTGATTGCATTCATACCAGCTTTGCAGTTTCTGGGTTTATAGACCTAAAGCCAATCTAAAAACTGTTGATAATCTGATTCACGTTTCAGGTCAGATGCAAAGGAAACCGTATTTCTCATTTCACATCAGTAAAACGATTCACCTTTACATTGTTTCATAAGGAGTTCTGATGAAAAATGTGGCACAAATTTTTTTTTTTTTATCACACAAATAAGAGATTTAGAAAATCAACCATTTCATTTAGGAACATTCATTTAACCAGGAAATAAAAAATGTTAAGAAGCCATTTTTAAAAGGTGTGACAACTAAAACAACCAAATTAATTGGTGTGGAAGGTGAAGGATCCAGAGGACAGGACTAAAAGATATGCTGTGGGAAAAGCTGAAAGAGTAAAATGAGAATTATGAACAATCCCTTTAAAGGTTGCTTTTTAATCGTCAGAGCCACATAAATGTCAAGTCTCTGCAAGAACGATGTCTCATTTCTGGATGATTACAGCCATAGTCACTTCCCGCCTACAGCCAAGTCACCACAAATAAGCCGGTGGGCATACTGCAGAGGTCATGATAAAATAAATGTGGACGATCAACTTTACTGATAAACATCTTTTAATCTCTCCAGGAGACTCAAGTAGGGTTGGGCAATAAATGAAATCTCTGATTTTCTTCCATGCCAGATCCAATTTCCGATTTTAATCATTTTTCTTCATAAATGACAGAAAATATTTCCCAAAAGTGGCTTTAACTTCAGTCATTCGTTCTGTGAGTTGTACCAGAATACAGGAATTTTTGTTTTCTGACAAGAATTTTGTCAAAGTATTAGCAGAATAAAGACGCAATTTTACCATAACGTCTGGAAAATTATTAATAACGTTATTATTTTTTGTGTTGGAGGTCTCATAAAATTACTACTTCATTCTCCAAATATTAAGACTTCATTTAGGTTATAATAAGACTTTATTCTCATATTACTATGACTGTATTATTTTAATATCATAACTTTATTTATTTATTTTTTTTAAAAGACCTCTTAGTCTGACTCTTATATTTTGTTGTAGAGTTGACCTGAATTCAAAATCTAAATAAATATAAGCTTCAAAAATAACTCTCAAGCAAGATGACATTACTTTGACGTATGGAAACCTAAGGAGTGCATTCGTGAAAAAAAAATAAAACAAAATTTTCAAAACCCCCCAAAAAATTTAACTCAAAGTACCCCTGTAATAAAATACAAATTTATAAAACAAGAGGTCGGGAGTTACTTCTTACCTAGATCATCCAGCTCTTCTGTATGGACCCCTTCTACTCAGAACGATGGATTGTTAAAGAGACAGAATGAGAGAGAGGGAGGGGAGAGAGACATTTGGTGTTAGGTGGATGCAGTAGCAACGTCTGGCCACTTGGTGGCAAGAGGTGAACAAAGCCAGTCCATCAATGTCATGTGATGATCATTGTTTTCAAAATACAGCATGCTGGGTTTCGGCCATGTGACCGGATCTATGTGCCGTCTGAGGCAATATTGACATAAAGACCGGGACTAAAAATGTATCTTGTTCATGTGACTGAAAACTGTACATCTTATTTCTCATAAAAACATGCTAAACAGAGAACTGCTGAAGCACCGATTATCTAAAGTACCAAGGCTTGTTTTCCTGAGAAAGCTGGAGAAAAAGCAAAGAGAGCAGAACCATTCATTTCTGTTGCCCAACACTGACACCTAAAGGTTACTGTGGAAACAGCCTATCTGGATTATACATCTAAGACACAGAAATGAACCATGATGAGAAATGAACTGGGGAATCGTGGTGAAAAATTATGAATATTTCCAAAGATCACATACCATCGTCTTCACATTCTTCCAGGGGTTTCTGAGGTTTGTCCAGGCACCGAGGGTCTAGCCAAGAGGTCGTCTTTGTGTTGTGGCTGAACAAAACATAAAAAAAAAGTTTATTGACACGCCGATGTCAAGTGAAATGGTTATCAATCATCATCGACTGATTAGGATTTAGATTCACACAAGACATGCAGTTTGGTAAAGCAGTGCAAGTCTACATTCCGCAGTGCTTTCCAAAAGTATTCATACTTGATATTGACTTGATATATACTTGATATAGCCTGAGCTACTATGACATATCTGGATCAAAAAGTGTGAGAGTGGCCCAGTCAAATCCCAGACGTAAATCAAGATAAGAGTCTTTGGCAAGAACATTTTTGGTCACAGATGCTTTTACTGTGATCTGAGAGATCTTAGGCCATTTTGCAAAGAAAATGGGCAGAAAGAGGTAAGATGTATTGACTTAGCAGGAATAAATACAAATTGCATGCCATACGTTCACCCTTTTAAAAAGTGGAAGAATGTTTTGATTCATTCTTCCACTAAAACACTGCTTTACTTTTCTTTGTCCATCATATGTTCAGTAAAATATATTGAGGTTTATGGTTTTAACATGTCAAAACATAAAGGAAAAATGTTCAATCAGAGGTCTTTGTTTCTTACTCTATAAAGTAGACCTCTCCGGTCTCGGTGTAGGCCATCTCCCAGTTGTCAGGCAGAGGTCCCAGCGGGTCCTCCGGGGGAGGATGGCTCAGGTGAAGGTTTGTCTGCTGTGTGCTCTCCGTGGTGGCCGATGGTGAGGGGGTTGTCCCAGCGTAGGACGGGTCGCTATGGCGAGGGACGTAGGGGCGCGCCGGGTGAGGAATTTCGTCCAATTCACTGGATTCTCCTGTGGAGACAAATGCAGCTCGCTCTCACACTCGTCAAACCAGCAGCACCTTCTGGAACAAAAGCAACCGTTGAACTCATGAAAACACGGCCAATCAAAAAGCGATCAGCTAACGAGAGGTTTTGCAGGCACGACTACGTGAACTTCTGAAGAGGGCAGAGGCAACCTCCAGCCTCAAGGAACGTAAAACAAGTCGCAACAAAAATTTGTCCTTTTGAGCAAAAATAACTGTATGCTAATATTTTTGTCTGATTTATTTACTTTTCTAAACTTAAATCAGCTGTTAGATCAAAGAGCAAATACAAGAGGTCATATTAGTCAGATGGAGTGGGTATATTTATATAAAAGCAAAATTTCCAAAAAGGACCACAAGTAAAATTCTGCTGGTTATTGAACGGACAACTCCAGGACACCAGTTGCATTACATGGCACAATTTCACTCATGGACAGCACAAAATAACTACGACTGCGACAATTATTTTAGTAAACAATCTATTGATTTTTCTGTTGATTATTCGGATACAAAAATGGCACATTTGACAGATTTTTTTATTTAGCCACTTAAGCCTTTCCATACAATATTAGAAATATGTTAAAAGTCGCAAATAAACAAAAAATCTGATCTCTTTTTTAAATAAGAGATTATGTTATTGCCTAAAGTGCAACAACATAGGATTCCTTTAGTGAATCTTAAGAGGACTTCAGGAGTTTTGGTAAAAACATATTTACAGACCAAGATGTTTAATCTTAAATGTGAAATGTAAATATTTTCTGTACAGTTTTGTCTTAATTATTACTCTGAATATGTGGTATTTTCCACCAAACGGCTTTTTTAAGTCTGTATATTCCAGTTCATGATAAATCGATTACTAAATTAGTTGAAGATTATTTCAATAACGTACTAATCACGGTTGATCATTTCTGCCGTGCAAGTAGCTAATAATTTTAGTTTGACTTTCAACCGTGGATTATTTCAGATTTCACACTTGAAAAGTGAATGCGTAGACTCTCGACACGTCACAAACCTCCCATGTCCAATAAATCTGACTGCCCTTCCTGAAGCTTTGAAGAGATTTACTCACGCAGCTGAGGGGGCAGTTCACACCTCGAGTCATGGACTCTGAATTGTTAGCACTTAGCTTCCTGTTATCTCATTTTCACACTCACACTTGACCAGCAGCCATTACAGCTCCCACAATCACAAAAGGTTCACAACTAACTTTTGGTCTGACCTTTACAGAACAAAAAATAAATAAAATAGGTCTGAGTTAGCATCCCGGGGGTATTACACATAATCCCAAAATCAGGTTTTTAACCAGCAGCACAGCTGTCAACATGACGGTTTTATGTATTGAACCTTAATTTTTATGACATAATTGCTTTCTTAATTGTAGAGGCTGCATAATTGCACACTATCTGGGACTCGCAGCAAGATGGCACTATTTAACATTTCTACATGCTCATGTGCTGCCAAGAAATAAATACATTAAAAAAAATAAGACACAAAGACTGAAACTCACCAAGAAATTAGCTGTGGTATTCCAGCGACCCACTCAAATACCAAAGAATGACCTTTTCTCCACTTTCCTAATTTCCCTCTTCACAAAGCAGAAGTCTCTCCCTTATCCTGCTGCCCAATCCTCCTCAGACCTCCTCCACCCCGTTTCCAGGCCACTCCCCTATTCTCTGTTATTTCCGGCTACCTTGTTCCAGTCCCCTCCCACTCAACCCGTGAGCTCTTGTGTTCTTCTTCTTCCTCTTTGTCCCAAAGGCAACGAGTGCCTGAAAAGTAGGATTGAAACCCAAGCTTATGTTGCAAACTCCACAGGAGGCGTAGTCCGGGTGTTGTGCTGTGTTGGTCAGTACAATCACTACGTGCAGGTCTGTTTGTTGAAGGTGTCGGTTACAGAAGCCTTACAAAAGCAAGCATGAGCTACAGTTCCTTGCAATCTACAACCTGTAGTACTACGTGGTAGATTAAAATAAATTACTGTATTTTGCATGTGCTGTGTTGTCTAGCAACCCTCACACAGACTGAAAGTCTGATCAGCGCACCCAGTTTATTTTATTTTCCTATGACTATAACATCATAGGAAAAATTGTGCTGTAGGTTCTTTGATAAAGTTATTACCGTAGTTTTAAATCCAAAATAAAATGAAGAAATTTCCAAGTGGAGGCTTATGAGACTCGGTGTGCCTCCATGCAGACTTTGAATGAAAAAAGCAGCAACACCTAGAAACTCCCTGTTGCCTCCATTGACATGAAGGTCTTCACCCGTCCAAACCAGCGTCGTACTTCAGCGCTGCTGCTCGTCTGCATGTTACCTGTAAAGCTGCTGTTCATGTCAGGGAGGTCCTCGTCGTCCTCCAGTTGCTGATCTGCAAGCCCTATTCCAGCATTTCGCATGTCATTGTAGGACTTGGCTCGTCGGGGAGTGGAGTTCTGCGAGCCCGGCAGGCTACCGCTGAGCCCGTCTGACAGTGGGGCATCACCACCGCTACTGCCGCTGATCACTTTCCCACTGGGAGGCTGCACAGGTGGCTTGGGCGTCCCATAATAGTTGCCTGCGGGAACAACGAAGGAGGAAGGATGACAAGATGGAGAGGTTGCAGATTAAAGTCACAGAAAAGCAGTGTTAGGCACACGAGCGCATCTGCGTCAGAAGTGTTAGAACGGTTTGAAATCAAGACTATTGGATATTCAAATACAAAGATGGTTCAGAAATATTTTTAGATTCAGATTGGTCATATCAGTTGATTTAAAAAGGAGAAAGATGTCAAAATAATAGCAAAAATTTCTTCAAAATATAAAAATAAATAAATAAATTTTAGGAAAGTTTTAGGAATCGTTATTCGACAACAAAATTGTGGTCACGTTTATTTTCGAGCTACTGTGGAGCAGGATTTTGTAAGAAAAGATGAAATTCTGCTGAAAATCCCTTACACGGAGACACACAGGACAAATAATGTAACCACTCTCACACATACATTCATACATAAAGGCAACGTAGCAGGACCAATTAACCCAAGAATCATGTTTTTGAACTATGGGAGGAAGCCGGCGTGCCCGGTGACTCGGTGAGAACCGACACACGTACATGGGCAACATGCACACCCTTTAATAAATTGTGATTTATTAAAGGGAAAACAATCAAGCCCTGTGTGGGAAAAAACTATCCCCCTGATGAACAAACAGTAATAACTCACATGTTTTTTTAGAAACCTGAATTCAGTTTCACGAGCCAAGCTGGAATATTGCATAATAATAATCAAGTGCATCATTTCACAGTGAATCATGCAGCAGTAGCTTCCTTTCTCTATTAATGACATAAATGAGAAAAACTGTAAATGAGATTCGGGTTTATGAAGTTGTGTCTGAGGGTTTTAGTTCTGCAAACTAATTTCAACTCAAGTTTGAAAACCCTCGAGTGATTGAGGAGTGTTTATTTCTTAAAATCATATTAATAGGTCTCTTGACTATTAACTGGCAAATTATGGGCTAAATAAATTAGAGGGCTAAATTCTTAACTAATAGCAACTAACCACTAGCTGGTTAGTTGCATTTAGACTCTGCAAATTCAACCAACATTAAGCACCAACCTAACAGTAGAGGTTAGCAACAGCATGTCCTGTAAAAGAAACTGTGGCATTGCAGTTCACCTTCATATGTTCCAATTTCCAGGAGGGTTCCACTTTTCTCCAACACTAGGAAGTCCTCTACAGAGAGGAAGTTGTAATCCACACCAGGAACTTCTCCTTCACGTGGGGAGCGAGTCGTACCTAGACGCCAAATCAGAGACAAGGATGAAGTTAGTGGACTTCAATCAGAAATTATACACCTGTGAAACAGTGCAACGGAGTATCAATGCTCATTGGTTAGCAGAACTACGTCACACAGGAAGAAGAAAATACATTTCTAAAAGGAATAAAGGAAAGAAGGTCCTGGCCTAAAATTGACATTAGCAATTGTTTCACTTCTTAAGACTCTGCCAAATCCTTAAAGGCAGCATGACGTTGGATCAGGCAGCAAGAGAGCAAGAGAGAGCGAAGCTCTTAAGACAGGAATGTCAAACTCATTTTCATTTTGGGTCACATCAAAATCTTTAATGTTCTCAAAGGGCTGATTGAACCAGAATGTATTGATAAACGTATTAAACTGCTAAAATATACATAAAATATATGTAACAAATAGCTGCCTCTGTATCTGTGCCTTTTTAAAACTGAATAATGTCAAACATCATATTATGTTGATCAGTCCCTTTTGGAATTCACAATGGAGTTTAATCAATTAAAATCCATTGTTAATTGGATTTAAGAATCCAATTAACAATGGATTTTGTGCTGCTGTTCTCGAATTTGGAAAACTTGTGCTTGTGTACGACTTTTATTACTCGCCGTATCGATCATGGAATATGACTTTCTTTAGGGAATAAGTTAAAAAAAAATTATTCTGTCATCTTCTTAAATCTTTATTTCTGAAATACGTTTTTAAAAAAATATATTTTCATGATGTAGGCCTCGATTCTTAATATCAATAATTAATGACCAAAGTAAGACAGCTTGAGAAAAAAAAACACTGACTGCTGTTATATATCTTAGTTCTGAAAGAAAATTTGTAGATCTCGTTTTTTTTATATATATATATCATTGCTTTCCAACATTTTTAGCTCCCTTTTCCAAGGCGTACAAAAACAACAAAATTATTGGACAAAAATACATTTTCATGCTATAAATAAGATAAAACATGGCCAATGCTGAACATTGGCCATGTTCCTAGAAAGGGATGCAAAATTATGGAGTACAGTATTGACATTGCTGGTACAGGAAAAACAATGAACAAAGAGAAGCAGCTCTGTAAGTGACCTCAAAAAAGGAGTTTCCGCTCTATACCAAACAAAGAAAATAAAACTGAGAAGCTCCTGTGCCGATGTTGAGTCACACAGGGGGAGAGAGTGTGAGGTACGCTGGTAACACCGAGTGAGATCCTGACGTATGTTTGGGGGGTGAATTGTGAGCCCGTGTGTGAATGTGTGTTTGACTTGGCACGGAGCCTGCGAGATTCACGCGGTCCCTTAAATGGCTGCTGAAAGTCGAGCAGTGTGGCAACGACAAAGAAGGTTTTCCTTTTAAATAATCCTCAGTCAGTTGTTGCATGTATTCCTAACATATATTGGCCCAATTTGGGCAGATTTCCACACATTTTCTTACAATAATTAACAGTATGAATAAAACCATCCAGACAGTGTCATTTATTTCATGCCTCTTCTTTCTTTTCATGCTCCTCAATCTTTCATCTCGTCTCCAAATCACGTTGTCTCTGGTAAGTAATAAGAAGGTAAAAATAGATGTGCGGCGATATGGAGGGAAAGCTCCCTTTGCCGCCACGCTCGGTGACATTGGTGATAAATCATGGGTGTCTACATCCTCTCTCAAATAGAGCGTCACATTCACACCGGCATGCAACAAACAGGAAGACCATCCTTCTCTCACACAAAGTGATCTTGACCAGCCTCAACTCGAACGCAAAGCTGTCTCAAAAGGGGAGTGAATTTCTTCTGCATGTCCATCGCAAGAGTCAAGACGTCACGTGAAACGCATAAAAAATCTCGATTGCTACGTTATTTAGAGTCTATGAGATGAATGGTTCCATTTTGCTCATTGCCAGGCACAACGAATGTCCACCTTAAAGCGTCTTCAGCTTATTATCCCTCCAAACAATGGTTGCCATTGATTCGACTCTATTTGGACACTTCTCTTAGAAAACCAAATAGGAAGTGGAACTGTGACCAGTATATCAAAGGGGAATCGAAAAGCAGGACCTTGGCTGAAACCCATGGCTAAGACGCAGTTATCACCAAAGGCTGAATTCATTCACTACACCCTGAACACAAAAGCGCCTTTGACCAGGCTGTGAAATGAAGCGAGAGGGAAAGACAGGTTGGGATTTCTGGGACTAGAGTCAGAGATTAGAGTTGAGTGACCATCCCGCTTCATGCCGACTTCAGACAAAATAAGGCCAACGAATTGCAGAATTACCATTATTTCCAGGTATTGCCACAAATAATGAAGCATTCTGACCAGTGGAAATGGACTGTTGAGGGACAAGCAAATCATTTCAAAAAATTGAAATGTTTTATTATACACACAGAAAAAAAGCATGTGTCTGGGTTGTTCACCAAGAAATGTCGTTCTGCATGGACGCCGGCTTCCCCAACTTGTTTTCTGTAAAATTACAGAAGAATGAAGTACCAGAGAGCTTTGACGTATTTCAGAGTGCTGTAAATGAAACATGCAAAACAAAAATGAGATGCACGAGAAAACAAAGATAGAAAGAACAACAGCAATAAAAGATCAAATTACCCAGCATTGATGTCTTTATCCTGGATAAGTTGTTGGGCTTTTTTTTATTTTTTTATTTAACTGTTTCCAGACTCCATCCAGGAGCACACACTGGATTGCGGATACATTTTTGAATGACATTCAACTGTAAAAAACTATTAAAGGTCACATTTCTGTGGGAAGTCAATTAGTTTTTTTTTCCTTTTGCAATACAGCATTGATGTGAAAGTTTCACTCCCTTTCAAACCAAATTGCTCTTTTGCCTAGATCATGAATCATGCAGATAACGTTACGCGTATTAAGAACGTCTACTGAAAAAGTTGAATTTTCCAGTCAAACTTACAGTGTGCCCTGGGGATGTTTCCAAAACAAAAGGAAAAAAAGACAAAATATGAGAATTTTATTGTTAAACTGCACAGAAACGTGTAAACAAAACATACTGAAGTCCCACTAGGAAACAATAACATCCTCTTCAGTGAGGATGTTGTTGATGGCAGAAGATTCAAATTTAGCAATTTTCTGAATCAGTAAGATGTCTACCAGTTAAGATAGAGATTTACAAACTTCATACAGAATACAAACTAAGAGATACTAACAGAGTTCAAGGGGAGTAAGCCAACAAGCCCGAGAATACCAGCTGTGTGTTTTGCTGCAGGAGGGACCGGTGCACTTCACAAAACAGATTGCAGAATGAAAAAATATTACTGTGTGGAAACAAATCAGACTTCTGAATAGACAACAAATGATGCAAAATGGCTTAAGGAGTAAAGCTAATGTTTGGGAGTAGAAAAGAAATCACTGAACTCAGGCACATAGAAAACTTATGTACTGAACATGTGTTTAAGCACTGTGCCCAATGAACCTGTATTACCTATAGCAGTTCTGTCAGTAAGAATATTCCAGAAAACTACTGTGAGAAGGTCGTGTCACGTGACACGCTGTACAGAGCAGCTTAAAGATATAATCAGAAACATATACATGAATTTTAACAAAAACATTTGGTGATTTACTGTCAGACAGTGAATCAGAGGTTTTTTTTTTCTCTAAAGCAATGAATTGGCTAATGTTGCCTTTTATTTTGAAAATTAAGGCGATAGTGAATTTGTAGATTTTGAGGTTTTTAAAGTTGCTATACCTGGTCTTGATGAAGAATAAAAGAGAAATGTAAATTATTTAGTTTGATTTTACTTATAGGTCACGCTCTCCCCTCACCAGGACAGTTTTATTGGGTTTTTCTGTTTTTAATGAGAGCGATATAGAATGTTACATATTTAATTTAAGGAAAAAGTTGATAGTATGCATATATATAAATAATTCGGCAAAATTTCACAAAATCTTTTATCGGTGCATCGCTTCAAAAATTATTATCACCCAGAACGCCCGTTATCAGTGTTAGTTGGAGATGAATTCAGAAAGCAGGCTCTGTAGTATTTAATAAAACTGTCACAGTTAAATCACACTCATTCGGCACGCTTAAACACTCAAAGTTTGACACTGCTGTACTTGAAAATAGAAAATCTTGCCTGGAAATTGGACAGCTGTTGGGTTAACTCCGCTAAAAACAACTGCTCGCAGCTCGACTGAGAAACACTGACCGACTGCCTCGGGGTAAAAATGATCTACAATTTTACCCTCAGAAAAGCCAATGAATTTAAATGCCACACATTTAGAAATTGGGAATTTTGAGCTGAAAGTAAAGCATTGGTCACCTTTGAAACACACTCAAACATTACCAGGATAGATACACAGTGGAAACCGCGCCACCTCCACTGCGTGATTCCAGCAGTGACCAGATTTGACTCCTGTTGCGGAGAACCAGGGGCGCAACCACATATTTTTGAAGTGGATGCGAACACATCATCATTTTCTTCTCAGCCGTATCAATATATCGAATGATGACTGAGGCCTGCTCTTGCTTTGAAATATCAGGTGTGCAGTCCAGTTCCACTGCAAAGTACTTAGAGGTTTTGTTCTGGGCAGATATTTCACCCAAAACACACTTGAATCTGAAAATTCATTCTCAGTGCACCATGTCAGACATCCAGTGGTTTGTTTGGAGGCAGCCTTTCTCAGATGTTCTGCCAGTGGGACATCATATCGTCCTATGAGCTCAAGGATTCCCAGAAAATTTCCATTTTTAGAATTTCCTAACAAATTTTTTTTTTCCCCTTTGTGGCAAGTTTCTCTCTCCAAGGAAGAGTATGTTGTCAATAACTCGAGTCAACGCTCTTCTCCAGTGGTTCTCTGCAGTTCACTGTCAATAGTCTTTCCTCAGCGTAAGAGAGAAGTAATTTCTTTCCGCATCAGATAAGCGTTTATGCAAGAACTACTGGTTTCATGGTGCTTCAATGTTTTTGAAAGACATTGCCAGTTCTTATACCCCGCCACAAGTCCTTATTATTCCTCTGTCATCTTCTCTTCTTTCTCTCTATCCTCACAGC